TGTTTGGGAAGTATCCAGCATACATGTACTGTCCAAAGTTCACAGCTGCATGATGCCCAGCTGTTACCCAAATAATGGTTGTCAAAATGTGAATTAGATTTTCTGGGGTTTTCAAAGCAGGCCACCATGGCTCATCTTTCTTGTCTGCATGGCCTTTTGTCCTAACTTCTGTCCACCAACCTTGAAGCTCCGTATCAGACTCAACAAGAGTTGGGTCTGGATAGTAGTGGTTTACATAGTCACCCACCCACTCCTTAATGGCATCCCAAAGAATGAGACCATCATTTGCAAATGGGTAGTCTTCAATTGTTAGCTTCAAGCCATGCTCAGCTGTAGGATCCTCAACTGCCATTCCCCTGAAATTAAAGCAAACAGTAATTAGCCGATGAACTTCCATGGCGTTTCAAATGAAATTTTTGTCTTTTAAGATTGGTAGCAACTAGATTGCAAATTCTTCGTTATAAAAAAGTTGCCTGGAACAGCACATGGTTTGGATCAATCTTATATTAGTCGTATCATGTGAAATACCTTCTGATGAGATCAGCTGGCAAAGCTTCCATGTCAAAGCGCCAGAGCTGCTCATAAGCAGCAGAACTGAGCTCAATGGAGTACTTTTCAGGTGAGAAGCAGCCCTCGATGATTCCACCTGCATTGATGAGGCTTTCTCTAGCAAGAGCATTGATTTCCATTGTATACCGAAAATGAGGATGCAGAAGTCTATAGATAGGATGCATTGCACTTAATTGTCGATTAGCTGCAATTATGTATGGCTCTGTAGCACAATGAGTCCTCAGCCTGTGAAAATATAACAGTGCAAACATGTTACCAACCATGCAACACTGACATACTTGCTACTTTTCAAATCCCCATTAGAGTAGATTCTTGCTTGAATTGAAGGCATGAGCTAGAAGCACCACTTGGGCACAGATATGCTTACCAGTGGATGACAAGCTGATGATAGCCAGCATCATGAGCACAAACATGGGCTTTAGCGAGCCTCCACAGCCAGCAACCGGTGGCATCCCAGGTTGGGGTGAACACTTGCTTCCATTGTGGCTTGTCACCAACCGGTGGTCGAGTGAGTTCAATGGCAACAGGCCTCAGCGTCCCATCCTCGGTGAGGAAGAGTAGTGTCCGAGAACCATACAGTGTGGTTCCTTCAATCTCTCTTACTTTGTTCACATAAGGCATGTAAAGATCATGGTAATCCAAAATAAACATCTTCTTTCTTTTTAAAGCCTGCATTTCAAGTTCAAGCAATTGGCGTGCACAAGGACACACACAGTTTACACGATTTCAAGTTATATGCATCAATGGGGGAAAATTTTCGTCCAGTTTAAAGGTGTACAATAAGAAAAATATGGGAGAGTTGGTGTCTATTTCGTGTTACCTCATCGACAGTCATACAACCTTTGATCTCTTTCTCCACCAGTTCTGTTGTAATCAATGATTCAGGTGGGCCGTAAATCTCAGGGTCAAGTTTACTCTTCAATGGCCACTCCTGCAGGTATAAAAATACAGAATTTAGCACCACAAGAGAAAACAAGATATGCTATTAAACACCGTAATTACTTGACCAACAAAGAAGATGGACGGGAGGAAGGGAACGTAGAAGTTTGATTTTCTTACTGAAGAGAAAGAGTTGTACTTGTATGTATAAGAAAGCATACCGTGACAAGTTCTATACTGTATGGATTAAGACCAGCTAGAGTTTGCCGAGAAAATTCTTCATCTCTAAACCAAGCAAACTTATCACCTGCAAAAGACGATTAGCTTAATCAAAAGGACAAAGACAATGTGGTATTTTCTCTTACTTAAAAGAGGACACAGACATAGAGAGAGAGAGAGAGAGAGAGAGAGAGAGAGAGAGAGAGAGAGAGGTAGGCATACGGTTAATTATTTCGGGGGTCTCGAAGAGCAAAAGATCGTCTCCCCCAGCAGTAATGGTCTTTACTAGCCTTGGGATGATTGTCTGAAAAAACCCACTAGTTTTTGGCTTAGGCAATGTGACTCCTTCATTGAACAGTGAATCAATGGCTGTGAAGTATGGAAATCCTAATTCTGGATTAAGAAGCGCTGTCTCAAGCGAAGGGAGCAACGCGTGCAGTACAGATTTCAGGGTCTTTGCTGAAAATGTGAGTTGTTTGACCTCTGCAAATGCTTCATCTCTTGGTACATACACACTGCTGCTTCTTTGTTCTGATAAGGGGTCTGCATTGACATAACAATATGATACAGTCAATCGCATAGCTCTAATAGTTTCTCAACCATACAACTACACATGCTTAAGCAACATACCAAATAAACAAATGGTTCATATAGTTAAAGTAGATATATTCCATTTTCAAAAACATTAAGCACATAGTTATTTGGGGAATTTGGTTACCTTTTTTGGTGCGTGGCCGTCCTGTTCTGCAGCGCCTGGGATATGGATGTTCTTTGCTGCCAAGGACAGGCCTGGCCAGTTCATCTTTGCTATCAGGATCTCCAAGATCATTGTATGTGTCATAATCGTAAATCCTATCGGATGTTTTTCTTTCACCCTCTCCATTTCCTCGCAAATTTTCCAGCTCTAATTCTCTTAGCCTCTTCAACCCACTCGGTGTCTCTGATGGTATGTAAGACTGCTCCATTGTTCATATAAAATAAATGAACACACATAAGGTTGAAGTATAAGTAAGAAGCTGTAACTACTAGAAATTAAAGAAAAAGTTTAAGGATGTAAACCTTGTTAGTGAAAAAGATTCTCTTCTGTGGATTGTCGAACTTGGCATGAACCCAAGAATTGCATGGAACATTAACAGAGCCATTTGGGAAGCCCTGGAGGTCGATGGTCTTGATGAAGATCTCCTTATGGTGCTCATTCTCCACCTCAATTGCTCCAACCGCTCCAAAACCTGCTGGGATTGTGAAATTACTCTCATATATCACCTCATCATCTTTGTGGCTGGCTTTGTGCGCATACCCCTTGATCCTGTCCTTCTCCAACCCCGTCTCTACAAGATAATCCATTTTACAAATTTATAATCAGTAAATTAATCAGTATTTCCAAAATTCTTTATTGGTTGATCATAACATTAGATGGGTCATAAATTTCCAACTCAAATACAACTCATCTTACTCGCTTACTAAATGAGTTGGGTTGAATTGTTATTTAAATCATCCTATTAACCCGTTTAATCCGCTTAACCTATTTAACATATTTACACTCATGTACTAAAAGTTGACCAAAAAAACTCATGTACTAAAAAAAATATTTTAACTCATTCAATATATTAAATATTAATCTTATCAATAATGTTACTCGTATATACTAAAAAACTTATGATAATATGTAAGGGACTTGTAACTCAAGTGTTTAAGAGTATTTATCATTACATCCTAGGTCCTGGGTTAGATTATCCCCTCCCTCAATATTTTTTGCATAAAAAAAAAAAAAAAAAACTTATGATATTATTGAAGTACGTAGTATACCAAAAAACAAATTTAATGTTAAAAAGAATATTTTAACCTTGTAAAATAAGCTAACAAATTAAACACCTTAATGAGGCCACTCTTAGGGCTTTCCTAGCCGCTTTTCTATTAAGACAATTGTTATTGGTGTTTGTAATCTTTGTTCTAATATTTGAATGAATTTCCCTCTTTGATCCCAAAAAAAAAAAAAAAAAACCCCTCAATGTGACAAATTGTAAAAGGATTGACACGACTTGTTTATTAATCAAGTTGAGCAGATTGATAAAC